TTAGACGTGCTAAGGCAATCTGAACTAAAAAAAAACAAAGAAGTGTTACAATCTGCTGCTAAATCTAAGAAAATTGTGTAAGTTTCACGACTCTGGCTTCTTTCCAAATGTTTTTGCAGTTCTTGCTAACAATCGAAAAAAAAAAAAAAAAAAAAAAAAAAAAAAAAAAAAAAAAAAAAAAAAAAAAAAACAACAAAACAAAAAAACAATTACAACTAACCTCTTATTATGGCCAAAACAACTTAAGTTGAAGAAACCTTTCTTTCAAACTGGGCGCTCTGTGCAGAGGTTACTTTGGCTTCCCTTCGTCTTGGAATTAATTTCCTTGCCCTCTTTTTGTCTCCAAATCCACACACCTTTTACCACTTGCACACTTCCACACTTGAACAGCCGCAGAACCCAGCCGACATGCACGCAAACGCACACCGCCCACTGAAGCCACTTTTGCACCACATAATAACACACACCACACTTTATAACACACACGACTCTCTGCCCAAAACGTCGAAAACCAACACACCACACCCATTTACAATGTCAAACAAGAAACACACATTGAAGGCAACAAGTTTTTGCTGCAAGCATTTTCGCATTTTCCGTGCAATGTGAAAAGCACAAGCTGCAGAAGTATGTTTTTCAGGTGTGAACAAGTCCAAGCAAACAATCAGAAAATTTCACAAATTTCAACTGCTCAAGTGTTAATTTTAAGTTTTTTTTTAAACGTTTTGGAAAGTTTAGAAAATTTAAAAATTGTCAAATTGCTTTGAATCACGCAACCAAAACAAAAGACACAGAATCAAGGGCGCCAGTTTAAAAGAAAAGGAAATGGAAATCAAGGCTGGGCAAACTCTGAAGTCGTTCTGGCCACAATGAGAAGAGGTTAGTGTTCAATTGTTTTTTGTTTCAATGTGAGCAAGAACTGCAAAAACATTGTTTTCTTTTGAACTTTGGCAAAATCGATGAAACAACTGCAAAGAAGCCAGAGTTGTAAAATATTGCACAATTGAACAGAATTTCTCTTGCTTGAGCAAAGATGAGAGTTAAGAATCTTAAAAATCAACTTTGGCAAACAAAAACATGGAATAAGTCTTTCAAGGTGGAGACTCAGCAAAACAAATGAAGGAAATCCAAAAGATAAGGCCTGTTTTAAGGTTAGATTGTTTGCTTTGTTTGGAGACGGAAGTGCTGCTCTTATTGGCAAAGCCTTTTGAAGTGCTTGAGTTGTAGGGATGTGTGTCTTTAAAAGCTGGTCGGAGTGACTGTACACGTTTTTTTGCTTGCTTTAGGTGTAGTAGGTCACGAGAACTCTTGCGGGAAACTTAGTAGTTTGGTTTTTTTTTTTTTGTTGCTGCTTGTTCGCTGGATTTTTTTGGTTACTGATGTAGTAAAGAGGCGCCTGCTGAAAAAAAAAGGCATCCTGTGCAGTTGACCTAAGAGAGTTTCCTTTTTAAATTTAATTTTATGGTCTTTACGGCTTCATTCGTGCAACAACAAGGATCTACTGCTTAAATCTTTTTTCTTAAGCAAATTTTTTGACTGGCCTTTTGATTGGCATCTTCACAACAATTCTAGTTTATTTTGAATGGCTGATGCGTTCGTTCAAATGGTTACTTGATTTGGTTTAATTTGGCGGGCGCGGCATTACAGGTGGCAGTCTTGCCATCTTCAATGCACATTCTTTTCTTGGACGATGCACCACAGGTGGCAAAACATTGACATCCGTGGTGCCACATCTAACAAAGATGCTGCAGCACTTCTGATGCTGCATCTTTTATAGAGGCACCATGGCACGTGCTCTGTTAACAATTATTCTTTGGAAAGCAAAAAATCTTCTTTCATGATTCTAACATGGCATTAATGCATTCTAAGTCAATTTAAATGAGTGTTTCCAATAGACTTTAAAGAAACATGCCAACATGAATTTTTGAGTAAATGAACAACAAATTCCAAAAATGCCAAATTTGTGCACTTGTCAACAAGATTTTTATTTTTTCAGGCAAAGAAAGTGAAAAACGAAAGAAAATGAACTTGAGAAAGAGATTCTAGGATTCAAATGATGCAAGGCCTACAACCTGCACACTGAAAAAATGTTTGTACAAATTGAAATTTAAAAAAAACTGCTGTGTCTTTCACATTGGCTGAAGGAGGCAAGGGAGGCCAAATAGACGCTTCTGTGCTCCACACAGTTGTTAGTTGTCTGCCAATTTGTTCTGCTGTGGAGGTTCCTTTCAAGAAGGTGAAACACAAGGGACTGTGCTTGATGTTTTTTGCTTGAGAATTCATGAATTGCATGCTTGCGTTGTGGATCAGAAGTTTCCCTTTTTTTGCAAAAGCCTGCAAGAGTTCATGGCAAAAACACTTGCAATGGCTGCCCTGGGAACGGAGGTCAAGTTTCCATGGGAACTGCAGGACGCAATCGTCGTGTTCGAGCTTCTCCAAAAGTTAAAGCCAAAGGCCAAAGCAACTTCCAGATCGTCACAGCAAGAAACGGCCTGGAGCTCGAAATGAATCTTTCCGCATCTGAAGCCGATGCCTCAACACCGCAGCCTTCTAAAATGGAGGTCCATTTTTGCCAAAAGATCGAGAGGGAGAAGCAGAAGAATGCAGAAGAGAATGGAGAAGCAGTCAGAGCAGCCGGCAACGAACAAGGGCAAGCGGACGTACACAGATCCGCGTGCTGAGTCCTGGCCGAAAGCGGGGACGTTCTGCGGTGTTTGCTCGCAGCTCAAAATCGCTACAGCTTGGATGGAATTTTCACCAGCAAGCCCCATGAGATTGCAGAAATTCTCTACGAGCTTGGAATTTGCAAAGACATTCGCGAGAACGTGTGTCCCAAGTGTGAGAAGAAGGATTGGAAGCATTCATGTTTGGTGCGATGCCGCAAGTGCAGATATTCTGAAAGTGTCGTTGCGCAAGACAGAGACTTGTTTTGCAAGCGAATTGCTCTTCGATCTGCAGTTGGTTGTTTGTGGCTGATGTGCACTTTGAATTTGTCTCCGGATCAAGCTGGATTGATATTGGGCTTGGATTCCAGAACGGTTCGAGAGCAGTGGGATGCTTTTCGAAGTTGGCTGTGCCCTTTGGTGGAGAAAATGAACGAAGAACTGACTGTGGGTGGGCCCGGCATGGATGTTGAAATTGACGAGGTTGCTTTTCGCAGTGCTGGGTTGAACACTTCAGTTCTTTGGCTTCGCTTCATCGGCATGGTCAGGCGTGGCTCCTCCAAGATTTACATCGCAAAGCTCCCCTACCGCTTGAGTCAAGGTGGTCAAGGTGGTGGAGGCCCTCTCAGTTTGGAAGAGTTGCGCTCCGTCATGGTCACTTCAACTGGAAAGCCACGCTTGGAGTGTGGCAGCATTTGCCACACCGATTCAGCAAAGGCGTACAAGCAATTGGACCAGCCAGAGGGGCCCTTGTATGACGGAACCTTGCAAGGGCGGCAGTTCAGCCAGTTCAAGCTAGCTCACACAAATGTTCGCCACAAGCCTCCGCATCCCGAGTTCACGAAGAATTTCCATGTGAAGTTTTGGAATGGACGTGAGTGGGATGAGAAAGACGTGGTGGGAGGAACGCAGAAGATGGACGGCTTCTTCAGTTCCTTTCGCCGGAAGGTCGGAAGACAGGCCTTCAACACTGTGGGGCCGACTCCCGAGCGTGCGGATGCTTTAGAGAAGCAGCTGAACCAGAAAGTTCGTTTGTTCCAGTTGCAGTTTTGGTTTTCAGGCTCCGATGTGTTTCAAATTTTCGGGGCTGTGCGACGGGCCGAGAGGACCGAGAGCGGCAGTGCATCTTTGGCCGCTCTGTCTGTGTTCCAGCCCATGTTCAAGGCTTCTGCCCAACCAGAGCAGGAGTCGCAGAACGCTCAAGGCGACCAGCACATCTCCGAAGAGGAGTGTAGCCTGCAGTCGGCCTTGTTCGACGATGAGTGACAAGCTCAAGCGTTTCTGTTTCGCAAGAAATGCGCAAAAAGGTTCCATGCTCTTCTGTTGCTGGGGGGTCGCGGTAGGGTTGGGCGTTTGCTGCTAACGTGCTCGAGTCGGGTTAGAGGTTAGAGAGAGTAGGCGCAGAGAACTGGCTATGGCACTGTGGGCGGTGCTTGCTTAAACAGACGCGGCGCCAGAGGTGGCAGGTTGTTCTTGGCGGCGCAGCTCTTCCTTGAAGGCGCGGCGCCATGCGCGGCGGTCGCCGCCGCGGCTGGCGCCGCGCCTAAAGAAAGAAGAAACTTTTTCTTTTCTTTCATTGCCACTTGTCACGCCGCGCCCGGCTTTAATTTGAATGGAAAATTGCTTGAATCGTACTTGATTTGGCTGAAAAATTGCATGATGTGGCCTAATATGGGCTAAGATCATCTTAGATCGCATCAAGTAGCTTAGATCTGGCCTTCTGTCTGCTTAATTCGTTTGCTTCTCTGTTGTGTTGACTTACATCTTGAATAGCATGGATTAATAGCTGATAACCTTCTTCATCTGGCTTGACGTCTTCATGGTGATGATTTGTATTCATTTGCGTGGCTGCATGAGCTCGTTCGTGGTCGTTTTCACGTAGCGGCTGACAGGCCAGACAAGCTCGGCTGATGCGCGTCTTGCTGTGGTGTACATGCTGAAAGAGTTTGGAAGTGTTTGGCCGCCAAATCCAATGACAGCGGAAGGTTTGGGCATTCGAAAACCGAGCTGGGTTTCGAGTTGTAGTTGCAGGTTCGTTGGGCTTTTTGTCAATCAATTCCGTGCAACTCCATGAATGGAGGGTCCATGGGGGAGTTTATGGAAGCCCACAGACTTCAGAACATCTCCGAACCTCCTGACTTGCTCCCGAAGCCTTCCAAAAAAGGGGGAAAGGTGACCTCCATTTATTTCCCCTTTTTTTTATCAAAGTTCAGGATTCCCAGGTTTCGGGGACGCCATGGTTGAATTGAGCTCAATTGTCGTTTGAAACGCAGTGGGTCCAAGCTTCGTGCATCCAGCGTCTGCTTTCGCAGTCTAGCCAATCCAGTCCTTGTTTCCATGTTGATGGCTTCCAAGCATGTTTTTTGCATCGGGCTCATGCTGCTGCATTGTGTGAAGCTCATCCACGGGGTGCGCAAAGCAGACATCTTCGAAGGTGAGGTGGCGCAGAGTTCCACTGCAAATGCTGATGCGCATTCTTCACGCATCACCGTGCGCGAGACGGAAACGCCCCTGATCAGCATCCACCAGCCTATGGACCCCGAGGATATGCAGAAAATGCTCGGAGACCACCTGGTGCCGGACGTGTACGACGGCAAGGCATTCATCCAGGTGTCTGTGTTCGATTTATCCAAGCTTGAGATTGCTGGCTTTCTGCCGAGCTTCATGAGCAGCTGGTGCCTGCGTGTGTCCGCTTATGTGAAGATGAAGGACTCCGGTGAGAAGGGTTATATGATCTTATCGGCAGATTTTGAGGACACGATCAGTGGCATGTTCATGACCAGGGGCTGCAAGAGCTCCCAGCTGGGCACCCTGTGCGGCACCATCGCGGTAAAGCACACGGATGAGGGGGACAGCAAGATGTTCACAGTGTCTGAGGGCGGGGAGCCTATACTGCACTTTGCTGCCCAGCTGGGCGGCGTCTCCAACACGGCCTTCTTCAACTGGGCCAACGAGCGGTACGTGCGGTTCCGCTTAAGCGATGATAAGAAGACCCTCCTCCGTGGTGAGCAGGAAGATAAGACCTGGGATGGCAACCATCAGGTACAGACCGACGCCTTCCACTCGGCCATTTTCAACACCAAGTTCGCCAAGTATCAATGGGGCTACCTTGACGAGGTCACTGACGCATGCAGGAAGGGTTACTGCTTTTTCTCAGAGAAGGCAGGCTTTGTGGATCATGAGGCCAAGCCCGTTGCCGAGGTCGGACGGCAGCTTTGATGGTGGGGTGGTTTGCCAGGAGATCCTTTCACATCCAGGCGAGAAGTGCGAGCATCCACCGCGCATGCAAAGTCACCTGAAGCGCGATCTGCACAAGTTACGACAAGGGCTGCTTTCAAAATGTGGTGTTCGGACAAGTACCAAACAACGTCCTGTTGAACACGTATTGGGTCGCCTTCGCCTTCAACCGGTCTTAGGGTCCCCTTTTGCTTCCAAAACCTTAAGCCCCAAACCCTTTAAGCCCCAAACCCTTCAAGCCCTTTCAACCCTAAAACCTATGACGCAAGCTCATGGCAATCACATGCAGAGCTTTCCCCATTAGGCGTCAGTCAAGCATTCGTGCCAATCCAAGACCCACAATCTTCAAACTACCCTCATGTTGACATGGCCATTTCCCAAAAATAGGGCTACCCGAGGCTTTCCTCCAAAAAATCCTCATGTTGAGCCCAACACGCACACGCATTTTGCCTCTCTTTATCGATTTCGCGCTCAAGGGTGTTGCTTTAGATTGCGGCAGTGCGGCCGCAAATATCCTCAAATAATGAGGGTGACATAGTTGCCGGAGCCCCAGGCACAGCACGGACATCTCAACAAGTTCTTGGCAACGATGCGTTTCATCCCTGAGCGTAAAGCCCAAGATTACCAGGTCCACGAACAGGTGCAGCGTTTCCCGTGCCCTGGCAAGCGCCTGTTGGATAGCATTGCGTTGCTTAGGTCAAGCCCATGTATACTTGCGTTTGTCACCCTGAACCCTAAACCCCAAACCCCAAACCCTGAACCCTGAACCCTAAACCCTAAACCCTAAACCCTAAACCCTAAACCCTAAACCCTAAACCCTAAACCCTAAACCCTAGAAGAAGTAGTAGCTCCAGCTCCGAGGTGTCGCTGCTAGGCGTGCGAGCAAGCCGCTGCGCCAGCTGTGGCCGACTCAGAGCTCTGGGGTTGAGGGCCTCAGGGCCTTAGGAGAGAGGGTTTAGGGTTTAGGGTTTAGGGTTTGAGGTTTGAGGTTTGGGTTTTTGGGTTGGGGTTTGAGTTTGGGGTGTTGGGGTTGAGGGTTTAAGGAGTGCAGGAAACCCTGCGATGCAACTTTGTTGAGGGGCCGTGTGGGGCACCACAACCCTAAACCCTAAACCCTAAACCCTAAACCCTAAACCCTAAACCCTAAACCCTAAACCCTAAACCCTAAACCCTAAACCCTAAACCCTAAACCCTAAACCCTAAACCCTAAACCCTAAACCCTAAACCCTAAACCCTAACCCCTCAACCCTAAACCCTAAACCCTAAACCCTAAACCCTAAACCCTAAACCCTAAACCCTAAACCCTAAACCCTAAACCCTAACCCTAAACCCTAAACCCTGAACCAGTGCAGGGGTACCTATTAGCACGTGGTCTCGGGCTCTCTTAAAAAAACTCTCCTGGTGTGGGATGGGCAGAAGTAACGCCCGAAAGATTCACTGCCAGGTTACCGCCATGGCGAGCCAGCCTTCCGCCGCAGGTCCTGTGCTGCTAAGCCTTGTAGTTGTAGCCAGGTAGGACCTTGTTTGTGGCTCTTGAAAACCCACTTTGGAACCTCAAAGTAATATTTCCACGCACCGCTGGCTAGAGAGTGAAAGTCAAGCAGTATAGTTACCCTGCCACAAGGGGGGTACATGGCTTCCGCATTATGGTAGCTTACTTCAAGTTCGTTCACAAGAGCCCAGACGGCTCTGTAGCTTGTGGAGGTGCCTTTAAGGAAAACCCTGTGGACGAAACCGCTCGGAATGACATGGAGCACGGCGCTCGGATTCCTGCCCTTGCTCAGGCTTAGGCTAGAACGGTTGAGGCCCTCAACACTAAACCCTATATAACCCTATATAACCCTAAACCTTGCCCTAAACCCTAAACCCTACACCCGAAACCCTAACCCTCTATTTGAAGTCCAGGCCATCGCCCCAGGACCGACGGTCGTCGTTTTTCTGAATGGCGGCTCTTGCGTACCGAGATCATGATGGCTGACAGTGCTTGGACTGGGAATGCGTAGAACCCTCAAGCCTCAACCTTCCAGGATAAAGGTTTTAGGGGTTTAGGCCCCAAAGACCCTGAACCCTCAAGCCCTCCTGGGTGAGGTCCAGCGCTTTCGAGGCGCTCGAGAAGGATTTCCAGGAGGTCTTGCAGGATCTCCGACCGAGTGTGGGGAGACCCCAGAAAACTCACCAACAGTAAAGTAGGTTAGGGGTTTTTGGGTTCGCGGTTTAATTGAAGGACCCCTGTGTTCCATTGTTCCATTGTGGGGTCGAAGCCCCAAGCCGTGGCTGTGCCCTAGCTTTGCCACCCCTAAACTCGAGCCCCAAGGCCGAGCCCTGAGCCCACCCTAAACCCTAAACCAGACGAGGTGCGGGAGCATGTCAGCCAAAGGTAAACCCAAACCCATAACACGCCCTAAAGCTGAACCCTCAACTGCTTGGATAGCAAGATCCAGAAACAGCACCCCTACATCGTTCAACATATCGGATCCATCCATCAAAGGATCTTGAAAATGCAAGCCCTAAGCCCCAAAAACCCCTGGTGAACCCAACCCCTCATATCCCACACGCGAGGAGCTCATCGGCGACAAGTCCCTGGAGCACTTCCGTCTCGAGTACGAGAAGCTCCACCGTGCCTTGAAAAAGCCCGCGAGCCCAGACGAAGTGACGCTGGGGTTTAGGGCCGTTTAGGCTGTTTAGGGTTTAGCCCTCAGCCCTAAAACAACCCCCTGAACACACCTCCCCCAATATTGAATCTACCGACCCCCGTTCCACTGAACAATCCCTAGAATCAGATTGGTTAACGGCAGCTTTTTTTTGAACTAGGGGTGGAGGGGGGATTGCACACCCTGCACCCGAATCTAAACCCTAAACCCTAAACCCTAAACCCTAAACCCTAAACCCTAAACCCTAAACCCTAAACCCTAAACCCTAAACCCTAAACCCTAAACGGCAGATCTCTTACCCCTCTGCGCCCTGTCGACAGGTCGCACGAGAGCGAGAAGCGCTTGATCAAGAAATGCCGGGCTTCCTGGTGGTTGGATTTAGGGTTTAGGGTTTAGGGTTTAGGGTTTAGGGTTTAGGGTTTAGGGTTTAGGGTTTAGGGTTTAGGGTTCAGGGGTTTGGGGGGTTTAGGGTTGAGTTCGGGGTGTGGAATTTGGGGTCTGAGAAGAGTCCGCCCTAGCTGCAGAACCCCGAGGCTCTGAGTCTGAGCCCCCCCTCCACCAAAAAAGCATCGCGTGAATAGGCCATAGCAAACAAGGCCAAAGAAAGCCTGAACCGGGCTATAGGAGAGGGTGGCAACTCCCTCAACCACCCCAACAACCCTAAACCCTAAACCTTAAACCCTAAACCTTAAACCCTACTAGGTTCATGGTACTTATTAACCAATTGTAGCTGTACTTCTAACTGTACTTACAACCATATTGCGGCACTTAAGGGGCTTATAAGTGGGTTATGTACAGTTATGATTGGTTAATAGGTACCATGCACAAAAAAGCGGCCCATGTTGCAAGGGCGGGGGCAGCCGACCCGCCCAAAAAGGGCGCGATTAGGCTCTTGCTAGGCTTTTTACTACTACTAGTCTAAGTACCATGAACCTCCAAGTAAACCCTAAACCCCAAACAACTGCCCCCGAGGCCGCGAGCTCAACCAGGAAATCGTGTCCAACGCGACAAAGGCTGGGATTTGGTTTGGGGTTCAGAGTTTAGGGTTTAGGGTTTAGGGTTCAGGGTTTAGGGAATCCGAGCTCAGGATGGCCAGCAAGGCCCTGGCGTTCGCTTCTTGGTTGGGGTTCCCGGGGTCTCATGGTGTCAGCTTCGGGTTGCAGGGTATTTGTTGGACCCTCAGAGCCCCCTACACCCTAAACCCTAAAGCCCTAAGCCCACAGAAGCCCTGAACCCTGAACCCTGAACCCTAAACCCTGAACCCTAAACCCTAAACCCTAAACCCTAAACCCCAAACCCTAAACCCTAAGCCCAAACCCCTGAACTTCCGGAGTCGATTGGCAGGTGCAGACCGCCCTGAACCTCTCCAAGGAGGACCAGGCCCAGAAGAGAGGGTTCTGCGGCCCCAAAGGCTTGAGCTTGTGCGGGTTTTGGGTTTTTGGGATTAGGGTTTAGGGTTTTGGGATTAGGGGTTGAGGTCTCAGGGTGTTTGAGTCTAGGGCTTAGGGTTTCGGGTTAGGGTTTCGGGTTTCGGGTCGCAGGCTTTTAGGGTTTCGGGTTTCGGGTTCAGAGGGTGAATCGTGATAGCATTGATAGGTTTTATCGGATCTCGCCTACCAACCTCCATTATTAGGGCTTTGGGCTTAAGACCGACAAGCCCCCACCAGAAATGCAAGGTCCTCATGAAGCGGGCAGCGTCGTATCCCGGAAGCCCTCATGCCCCAATTTGTTCCAAAACCGGTTTGTCGGTTGTTAGACGTCGGGTTTGAGGCTGGGGGTTGGGGTTTAGGGTGTGTTGGTGGTGTCCAAGTGGTTTCTAACAGGCTCTGGTGGTCTTACTTATGACACCGAACCCTCAAAACTGCTCCTTCTTCCCCTAGGCAGGGCCTTGGTGCATCTCATATTTCCCGTATTGGGTTGCAGAGCTGAACCCTCAACCCTCAACCCTCAACCCTCAACCCTCAACCCTCAACCCTAAACCCTAAACCCTAAACCCTAAACCCTAAACCCTAAACCCTAAACCCTAAACCCTAAACCCTAAACCCTAAACCCTAAACCCTAAACCCTAAACCCTAGACCTAACCCGAAACCCGAGGTCGAAATGTGTGTCAGAGGGCCTTTACAGAGCCTGCGTTGGTCTTTTGAGGCGACCATCGCGAACCTGAAGAAGGAGATCGAGAGGGCCTGGAAGATGGTCGAGGCGTTGAGGGGACTTTAGGGGGTTAGGGCTTTGGGTTTAGGGTTTAGGGTTTAGGGTTTGGGGTTTAGGGTTTTAGGGGTTTAGGGTTTAGGGTTTAGGGTTTAGGGGTTTAGGGGTTTAGGGCGGGTTTAGGGTTTGGGGTTTAGGGTTTTGGGGGTTTGGGGTTTTTGGTGGTTGGGATGTGAAGCTTTTGGGGGTTTTGGTCGCTTGCAAGGTGTTTTTGTTTATATAAAGGGTTTCTGGTGGTTGGGATGTGAAGCTTTGGGGCTTAGGTCACTTGCAAGTTTTTTTTTTTTTTTTTTTTCGGGTTTTAGGGGTTGGGATGTTAAGCTTTGGGGGTTCGGCCACTGCTTGCGAGATCCTAAATCAGCTCATCGCAAGCCCTAAGGCCGAACCCCGGTGCCTATCACCCTAAACCCTACGTAGGGGGTTAGGGTTTAGGGGTGTTTGAGGTTTAGGTTTAGGTTGTTTTAGGGGTTTGCTCGGGTTTTCTTGGTTTGCTGCAGGGCTTGCGGGCCTTCCTTCGGCCAGGCCAGCCACGAGAAGGAGCAGAGGGCGAAGGAGACGATCCACAATCTGAAGGCCCCCGTCTGCTTGGTTTTGCTGAGGTGCTAACTTTGAGGGTTTAGGGTTTAGGGTTTAGGGTTTAGGGTTTAGGGTTTAGGTTCTCCCTTATACTAGCAGTCCTTAATGCTCCCTATAAAAAAATCCCTATCAAGGACTGTTCGTATAAGAGGGACACCCCAAAACCCTAAAACCTACACCTGCCACCTGCTTGAAGAAGCAGTCCCCTGGAAAGGGTCCCGAACGTAGACCCCACCAACGATCTGCTCTTTGGGCTCTCTAGGAGTTGGAGACGGCAGTTATTCGGGTTTCGGGTTTAGCGTTAAGGGTGCTTAGGCCAAGAAGGGCTTATGTAGGGCGTTCTTATGCCTTCCGACCCTTCTTTCTTTGGGTTTTGGCCTTCCTACGTTGTTATGGTTGCCCCGACCTTCCGCCCCAAACACTCCAAAAAGCCCTAAATCCTGAACCCTGAGCCCCAAGCCCTTAAACCCTACTGAAGTCGAAGCCCTCAAGCCCATACCCTATTTTGGGGGGGCTCGGGGGTTCGGATTTAGGGTTTAGGGCCTTTAGGGGGTTGGGGTTCGGGTTCAGGGTTTGAGGTTTAGGGTATCGCCATAAGCTCGAAACCCTAAAACCCCAACCCCAAACCCCAAACCCTAAACCCCAAGCGCTTTGGAAAACCCCAAGCCCTAAACTCCAAACCCTAAACCCCAAACCCCCCTCAAAGCTCCAAACGCAGAGGGAGCCAAACCGAGACCCTGGCCAGGTGGAGATCGCGAACCTGAGCCATCTTGTGGAGCAAGGTGACAAGGGCTCTGAGGGTTTTGAGGGTTGAGGGTTTAGGGCTCTGAGGGTTTAGGGTTTAGGGTGTTGAGGGTTTAGGCTTTTGAGGGTTGAGGGTTTAGGGCTCTGAGGGTTTAAACCCTAAACCCTAGACCCTAAACCCTAAAAGCTCATTCTGTGATGGCATGGGGTCATGGGCCAACCTGTCCGACAACAAATCCCCTCCCCCCAATATTCAATCCCCCCTACCCCCCCAATATTAAAAGCCCCCCCAATATACTATGATAGAACTATAATGGGGGGTATACAAACCCTAAACCCTAAACCCTAAACCCTAAACCCTAAACCCTAAACCCTAAACCCTAAACCCTAAAAATAGGGGGCAAGGGGGAATAAGTCTTCGTAGGCTCCTCACTCCCCATCGCAAGGTTTGTTGGCGCATCCTGCCTTGGTCCCTGATGTGCCTGACTCCCATTTTGGGTTTAGGGTTTAGGGTTTAGGGTTTAGGGTTCTGGAGTCTCTTTGTATATTTCTAGTCAGTGTGAACAGAGAATAGCGGCAATTCAGCTGAGACACCCAGAACCCTAAACCCTAAACCCTAAACCCTAAACCCTAAACCCTAAACCCTAAACCCTAAACCCTAAACCCTAAACCCTAAACCCTAAACCCTAAACCCTAAACCCTAAACCCTCCCTAAACCCTAAACCCTAAACCCTAAACCCTAAACCCTAAACCCTAAACCCTAAACCCTAAACCCTAAACCCTAAACCCTAAACCCTAAACCCTAAACCCTAAACCCTACCCTGAACCCTGAACCCCGAACCTTAAACCCCTGAACCCCGACATGGTTTCAGGGGCCGGCCTGAGCGTGAATCAGGACAGGTCCTTGTCCGTGCGCTTTTGGGCCGAGGTTGTTTCGTTCTTTTTTTGGTTGCAGGGGAGTTTTGAGGGTTTAGGATTTAGGGCTTTAGGGTTAGGGCTGTTGGGGTTGAGGGGGTGCAGAGTGTAGTTACGGGCATAGTCAAGCTCTTCGGGGTTTTAGGGTTTAGGATTTCGGGCTTTCGGAGTTTGGATATTCTGGACCGGGGGGGGGGGGGTTTCTGAAGGAAACATCGCCCCAAAAGCCCCCCAACCCCCCAACCCTTACCCCTAACCCAAGATCTCAACCCCTGAGCCCCTAGACCCTAAACCACTAAACCCCCCAAAACAGGCGCGACCCTGGGGGTTTTGAAGGCATCTTCATCGTACACCACTCGAAGGTTCATGGTACTTTCAAAACCAACTATGACTGTACTTACAACCCAAATTATAACCATATTAGAGCACTTCAGGGGCTTCTAAGTGGGTGATAAGTACAGTTATACCAGGGAAATAAGTGCCCTGAGCCTTCAGCCAGAGCCGTGACCGCCAGGAAAACACCGTGAACAGCTTGATCGCGCAGCCGGGGAGCCCGGGTTCTCCCAGAAGTTTAAGGGCTGTGGGTTGTTTTTTGGGGATTAGGGTTTAGGGGTTTCTTAGGGTTTAGGGTTTCTAGGGTTTAGGTTTAGGGTTTCTTGGGTGTAGAGTTTAGGGGTTAGGGTTTTAGGGGTTTTAGGCCTTTGAGCTTTTTGCGCGCACCCTAAACCCTAAACCCTAACTCCTAAACCCTAAACCCTAAACCCTTTCTCGAGGCGAGATGAGCTCATCAAAGCTCGCGACAAGTTGGAAGCGCAGGCGCGCCCGAAATCGACGCTGTCGACGGCACTTGTGCAGCCCCAAATCGTAACCCCCTACCCGGCGGTTCATTGATAGGTGTAAGTAGGGTTATAAGGACCCTACGTAAGGTAATATGTGTTCCAGATTTACAACCCTAAATCCCGAACCCTGAGCCTCAACCTCAGGCCTTGGTGAAACAAAACGCTCGTGCACCAGGGTGAAAAGGGTAATAATCCAGTTTTGAAGCAGTCCTGAACCTAGACCCTAAAACCCTAAACCCTAAACCCTTCTCCCTAAACCCTTCTCCTTAAACCCTAAACCCTAAATTGCATCCTTCAAAAATAGCTGTTGCAGGTGGCCACCCTGACACACGACAACATCGCCCCGGCCTCTACTGTCTGCTGCGGCTTTGGGTTTATGAAAGTGTATTAGGTTTAGGGTTTAGAGTTTTGTGGGTAGCCATAACTCGGGGTACAAGCAGGTAACTATGGTTAGAACTGGTGAAAACCCTGCGGAGGTAGCCCCACAAGCCCTCAGCCTTAAGCTTTGAGATAAAGGAAGTAAAGGGCTTGAGGTTTGGGGCCCGGAGTTTAGGTGTAAGTTTTGACCACCTTCGCTACTACCCTCCAGAAAAAGGGGTGTTTGCTGGGAACCTTGGCTACGCCTAGTAGTTGAACTTGCTCCTTAGATAAGGGGTTGTTCAAGTCATGACCTTTTCTTGGGTAAGCCCTTAAGCCCCAAATGGAAGTCCGCATCTTAAAAATAGGTCCCCCCACCCCCCGCCCCCCTCTGTTGTCCTCAGCCCCTGCAAGATTTTCACGGAAGCTTGCTTTGGGCCAAGTCTGCTCAAAGCTCAAGGCACTTGAGGTTTCGGTAGAGGTGTTCGGTGCTCAGGGTTTCGTGGCTGAGGGTGACCCACAAAGTCCTTTTAAGCTCGCAATCCCTTGTGCTCCTTATAGTACCCACCCAAGGCCCCCTGGTACCTCCTTATGCTTCTCTCTCTCCCGAGGTCCTCACTGAGACGGCTCAGAGATATGAGTCTGAGAAGGTCCAGAGCGAGGCGCGCCCCCTAACCCCCTTGAAGCCCCCAAGCCCCCCCCCCCCCCTAAACCCTAACAACCCATAAACCCGAAACTCTGAACCCCCAAGCCCTCAACCCTCAACCCTCAATCCTGCGGGTGCGCCTCGAAGGTCCCTCAGGGCCCAAAGCCCTAAAACAGCCCCCCCGGAAACCTCAAGCTCCCTAAGCCCCAAAAGAACCTTATTTACACCCAAAACCCTAAACCCTCAACCCTGACCTCCCCCAATCCTTAACCTCCAGGACCCAACGTTGCAGGATACCCCGTGTGGGTTGGTGGAGAGTGCGGGGGGAAGCCGGGCAGGTCGAAATCGCGGACGTGAAAGACATGCTCAACGCCAAGAGGCTCTCTTGAAGTCTGTCGGGTTCAGGGTTTAGGGTTTAGGGTTTGAGGGTCGAGGGTTTTTGGGGTTTGCGATTGTGCTTCGCGGGTTTGGGTTGTTTTCGACCTAAGGTTCCGGGATCTGAGCCCAAGCGCGCAGGGTTGTAAGATGCCGAGAGTTGCATTTTGCCGCAGTTTTGGAACCTTAACACCTCCAAGCGGGTTCAGGGTTTAGGGCTTCAGCCCGAAAACCTAAGCCCCAAACCCTGAACCCTAAGCTCTCAAGCCCCTGGGGTCAAAGTTGGCTCTTGTAGGATCCGAGAAGCAGAGCCCGCCCTTCCCAAAGGCGCCAAAGCCCTCTAACCCCCCCCAAAAGCCCCCAAAAAGCCCCTTAACGCCTGAACCCGAAGCTCCTTAAATCCTTAAACCCTAAACCCTAAACCCTAAACCCGAAACCCTAAACCCTAAACCCTAAAGCCTGGCAGGACCGAGGAGGAGCGCGAGACCCGACGAAGGGACCGCCTCGAGAGCGAGTTGGCAGAGTGCGGTAGCCCAGGATGTGGAGGGGGAGGGGGGGCGGGGGGGGGGGCCCAATGAGTTCCTAGGGCGTTTTAGGGTTAGGGTTTAGGGTTTCGGGTGTAGGGCGGGGTCGAGCTTTAGTTTTTTTTTTGTTTCTCATTTTTTTCTCCGACGGACCGCTGCGACCTCCTGTCCGAAGCCTCTGTCAGCGCAGCTCCTCGCTCTGTGACCTGCCGAGCCTCCCCCCGCCAGACTTCGAAGATCCCGAAGCCCCTCAACCCCTAAACCCTAGACCCTCCACCCCCAAACCCCCCAAACCCCTCAAACCCCTCAAAACCCCTGAACCCCTGAACCCCCGAACCCCTGAACCCCTGAACCCCTAAACCCCCAAGGATCTTTTGAGGGGCATGAGCTTGGATTTATCGAGTTCGGGGTCCGGGGTTTGTCTGTAGGGCTCAGTCTCGTATGCACCCCCCACCCTTGACCAAAAGCCTTAAGCCCTCAAAGATTGTTTAGGGTTTAGGGTTTAGGGTTTAGGGTTTTAGGGTTCAGCCCTTCAGAGCCTGTTTCTTGAAGCTTCATGGGTCGTGGCCCCCAATCCCTCGACTGCCTGCGCCTCTGCAACAAGAACGGGCCCAAACTATAAACTGTAAACCCTAAACCCTAAACCCTAAACCCTAAACCCTAAACCCCAAACCCTAAACCCTAAACCTTAAACCCTCAACCAGAAAACCCCAAACCCCAAACCCTAAACCCTAAACCCTAAACGCTGCATTCCAAGGCTCAGGCAAAACATGGAGGCCAAGGAGATGTCCCTCAAGCAGGTGAAGGCCGGCCCCTCTTTTTGCGTTCTTGTGGGGTTTAGGGTTTAGGGTTTGGGGTTTAGGGTTTAGGGCAAGAGAACTATACTGCTCATGTGTGGCATCCGGACCCCTAGCTGCTCCAGGCCATAACCCTGGCAGCCTAAACATCATGGGTGTCTTCCCAAGGTATTGGATTTTGCTCGTGCAGTTCAAAGTGAGTTCTGCTGAAGCAATCTGTGCTTCATGTTTTTTTCGTAGATAGCTTGCAACCTTTCTTCTTGTGCTTTGTTCTGTGGTGCCTTTAAAGGGCTCCTATGTTTCGACGCATGAGGGGATTGCTCCAAGTTCGAGTACCTTAGCAGGGGTCCTTTTGTTATGGAGCCTTTATTCACCAAATTCTCACGGTGCCTGTATAGAGTGGGGACCGGAAGCAAGACCCGAAGCCCTATAACCCCAACAGCCGGCCCTTCTCCCGTTTTTCAACTTGAGAACTTGTGTGCCAGGATGAGATCAAGCAGCAAGAGGACGAGAGGGCCCTCACAGAGATCGCGCGCAGACCTGAGATCATGGCGGGTTTTCGGTGTGCAGAATCGCCCGCAACACACGCGCAAGGGGTTGAGGATGCCAGGAAGCAGGACTAGTCCACCCACAGCCTTCCCGGGATACCTCACTCCCTGCTAAAGGACGGTTGCAGGTGGTGGGGCAGCTACTTTTAATAAGAAGACCTGTTCTGGTACAGGGTTTTATACAGACGCCTCTTGTAAGACTCTTATGAGTCTTATGGGACTCTTCTCAGGGAGGCTACGGACCCTAAAGCCTAAACCCTGAGTCCCTCAACCCTGAAATCCAGCAAGAGAGGGTCGTACTGAAGCCTGCCCTGAACTCTGATTCTCCAGGGTTTAGGGTTTAAGGTTTTTCAGAAGTTATGTAGGTGTGGGGTAGTTGTGGGTTTGGGGTACTTATCCCTCACAAGCCCGAAGACGAAACAGGCTCGAAAAGCAGCGTGCAGAGATTGAGAAGCAGCGCCAGGACGAGGCTCGCCTCCTTGGGATGAACCCTGAACCCAAAACCCATAGCCCCTGAACCCTAAACCCCTCGACCCCTAAACCTGGACCCCCTGAACCTCTAAACTCTTAAACCTCAGCACCCACCACCCAACTCCCCGAGCTGCCCTTAGCCTTCAGAAGCAGCCCCCCGAAACGAATAGGAGCCCCGCTGGTTGTTTTGGGTTTAGGGTTTCGGGTAAGCCCTGAAGCCCTGAAGCCCTTAAGCCCCTAAACCCTCAACCTCTTAAACCCTAAACCCTAAACCCTAAACCCTAAACCCCAAACCCTAAACCCTAAACCCTAGACCCTAAACCCTAAACCCCAAGCCCCAAACCCTAAACCCTAAACCCTCAACCCTAAACCCTAAACCCCAAACCCTAAACCCTAAACCCTAGACCCTCAACCCTAAACCCTAAACCCCAAACCCCAAACCCTAAACCCTAAACCCTAAACCCTCAACCCTAAACCCTAAGTCCCACTTACCAGATGTTTTCATGGTGCCCAGCTCGGTGCCACGTCGAGGCCGGCTGGCAGCGCTCCATCGCCGATCTGAAGAGGAAGAAGCAGGTGGGTTTAGGGTTTAGGGTTTAGGGTTTAGGGTTGAGGGTCTAGGGTTTAGGGTTTAGGGTTTGGGGTTTAGGGTTTAGGGTTTAGGGTTTAGGGTTTAGGGTTTAGGGTTTGGGCTTCTGGGGCTTTGGGTTGTGGGTTTTGCTTTTTGGGGCTTAGGGGTTTCGGATTTGAGGCTTGGGGCTTTGGGGTTTGGGGTTTTAGGTTTTGGGGGTTTGGGGTTTGGTAGGGAGCTAAGATCCAGGGAGAACGAGTGAAATGGCTTAAGGGTTTAGGGACGGACTTGGCACCTGATTCTATGCCTCTCTCTTCCAAGGACTGCCGCTTGGAGGTTCACGGATAGTTTTTCAGTACAATAGGGCGACAACTATCGTTTCCATACTTTCAACCCTACTCCGATCTACCCATGAACCTCCAAGTAGGGGGAGGAGGTTTGTGGTTGAGGGTTTAGGGTTTCGGGTTCAGGGTTTAGGGCTTAGAGTTCAGGGCTTTGCTCAAACGGCTCCGACTCAGGATCTGCAAGGGGTGGGAGTTGTCCTAGATTTTCGTTTTAGGGCTTAGGGTTTGAAGGCACACCTTGGGCGTGCTTCAGGTCTGGTGGGAATTTTCATGGTAGTCTTAAGCAGGGTTTGTGTTTGGGCAATTGTCCGTGGGGTAGTTGGAAGTGCGGTACTTAGAAGTACGGTAGCCGGAGCTACAGCCTTCTTTAGGATGCTTAGAATACTTACAAACTGTTGAGCCTCTTCGGAATGAATACAGCCGTCCACGTACATCATCTTCGGATCCCGAAAAAACCACGCCCTTTTTCGGTGTGCAACCTTGGATTCATTCATCGTCGGCTGAATCCCCCAAAGCGCCACCCGGAACAGCAAGAGCCGAAATCCCTAAGCCCTCAGCCCCGAAATTCTAACCCTAAAGCCCCAACACCCTAACCCCCAAAGCTCCCCGAAAACCCTGACACCCTAACCCCTAAAACCCTAAACCTTAGCTCGTCTGGGGGGAAAGCAGTAGAGGATCGCCCACGTGCCCTCAGGAGGACAATGAGATGAGGAAGTCCATCAGCGAGGAGAGCCGAAACCTCGAGCCCGAAGCCCTAAACCCAAACCCAAATTAAGAGCCTCCGGCTCAAGCCGCCGACCCCGCTGGAGCATAGTTGAAAGGTTTAAATGCGCTCGTCAACTCAAAGGATGCCAAAAAGTTGATTTGCTTGAGCCTCTATGAAACGTTGGGGGGGGGGGGGGGGGGTAGCACCAGGACCCAAAACAGGAGCTGAAGCCAGCTTGAAGGAGCAGTTTCAAGCCCAACAACAAAGAGGGGGGGCAGGGGGGGGTCGGGCGGGGGGGGGGGGGGTAGGGGGGGGGGGGGGTGGGGGGGGGGGGTAGGGGTGGGTTTTTTTCCCAAAGGACCCCTATGTCCTGTGCGAAACCGCCTATGGTCCGTGAGTTTATGCGGTGTGGGTGGCCTGGCCCCCATGGAAAAGCTGCCCGGTACCCCCCCCCCTACCCCCCCCCCCCCCACCCCACGTTTTGGGGGTAAGGAGGGAAAGAGGGAGGTTTTCACCTCCTTTTCCCATCCAACACGCCGCCAGGGTCGGCGGACCACAAACCTAAACCCGAAACCCTAAACCCTAAAGCCTAAACCCTAAACCCGAAACCCTAAACCCCAAACCCCAAGCCTCAAACCCAAAACCCCCCAAGCCCTAAACCCCAAACTCCCTAAATCTAAAGCCCTAAAGCCCCAAGCACTCTTCGACCTGAGCAACCTAAGCCTAAACCCTAAACCCCACAGCTAACCCCAACGCCCTCTAGCGGAATGTTCGGACTTCCCAGATGCTTCAGCTTCATCTTTTTCCTTCCTAGACCCTAAGCCCTAAAACCCTAAACCCTAAACCCTAAACCCTAAACCCAAAACCCTAAACCCTAAACCCTTAACCCTAAACCCTTAACCCCAAACCCCTAAACCCCGGCGCCGCCAGGGAGCACCCGCAAGCTTGCACCCCGGCACTCAAGGCACCCTTTGTCTTTAAGATCCCCGGCACCAGAAGTCTGTAAACCCTAAACCCTAAACCCTAAACCCTAAATCCAAAACCCTAAACCCGTGATCCTAAACCCCTAGACCTCTGCTAGCCCTGAACCCCTAAACTTCTTAAAACGAACCGTGAAGCCCACCGAGGAGAACAGTAAGCTGGACAAGGACCTCAAGGCCCGCTACGAGGCGGGGGGGAAGCGCATGGCTGGCAGCTGTTGCCGGGTTGTTGGGTTTAGGGTTTAGGGTTTAGGGTTGAGGGTTTAGGGTTTAGGGTTTAGGGTTTAGGCCTTCGTTGGGGGCTTCAGACAGTTGTTCTACACAGTACAGTGTTCATTGGTCTCTGTAGATGTTTGTTTCTGTGCTCTGGGTGTTTTGGGTTGGACTTGTGAGGGCCTTCGCGGCCAATGGGCTGCACAGTCGATGTTGGGGCTGGTAGGGTGAACTCTTCGATCCGGGCGTGAGGGGGGGGTTGAGTCTCTGAAGACTAAACCCTAAACCCTAAACCCTAAACCCTAAACCCTAAACCCTAAACCCTAAACCCTAAGCCCAAAACCCTAAGCCCTAAACCCTAGACCCTAAGCTAAAAACCCCTGAGCCCCTCAACCCCCCAAGTGCCGGAGGAGATCCGGCTCGTGACAGCGGAGAGGGACAAGACGAAGAAGACCCTCGATATCCTCAAGCGCCGGAAGGTGCCAGGGTTTAGGGTTTAGGGTTTAGGGTTTAGGGTTTCGGGTTTAGGGTTTAGGGTCCTGAGTTCGTGTTAAGGTTTTTGTTGTTGTAAACTGTTTGTTTAATTTGTTTGTGTGTTTTGGTTTCTTGAGTTTTCATAAGCATCTGGGGTTCTGGGGCGGGATGTGGGGCTTCTGGGGTTTTTGGGCTCAGGAATTCCGAAGCTGAACCCTGAACCCTGAGCCCTAAACCCTAAACCCTAAACCCTAAACCCTGAGCCCTGAACCCTGAACCCTAAACCCTGAACCCTGAACCTTGAACCCTCAGCCCTAAAGAGAGGCGACCCCTGCAAACACCGAATAAGTGATTCAGGCGCCAGGTGTTTGTGCTGTGTGCAGCCCACAGAGCTAGCGCCCATCTACCAGCCCTTCGCCCTAAAGGGTTTAGGGTTGAGGGTTTAGGGTTTAGGGTTTAGCGTTTAGGGTTGAGGGTTTAGGGTTTAGGGTTTAGGGCCTCTAGGGTTGGTTTGATTAGGTTGCACCCTAAAGCCCAGGGGTTTGGGGGTTCGGCAGGCCTTGGATGACGAGGCACGCCACGAGATGAACCTGGCCAAGGACTGGGGGGTTGGGAGTGAGAGGAGTTGAGTTGTGGCTCCATTTGATATACAACCTTCCAGGATTCCATAGTCGGAAAGATTTTTCCCGATAATCTTGTATTTGGCGGTGGAATGGCTGGGCCTTTTCGGGCTTTTCGGACGTGTTTGCTTCTTGTGGTGGGAAGTTGAGCTGAGTGCCTAAACCCTAACCCTGAACCCTGCACCCTGAAGCCTTGAACCCTGCACCCTGAACCCTAAACCCTAAACCCTAAACCCTAAACCCTAAACCCTAAACCCTAAACCCTAAACCCTAAACCCTACAGCCCTGAACGTCTGAACCCTGAAGCCCCCAAACGCCTTGATGCCCTGCGGGCCCTACAGTAAGCTCCAAGAGTGCAAAAAACTTTGGAGACTGGTCTACACCCTAAACCCTAAACCCTAAACCCTAAACCCTAAACCCTAAACCCTAAACCCTAAACCCTAAACCCTAAACTTGAAACCCTAAACCCTGTACCCTAAACTTGCCAGCCTTGCTTTAAGACAGGCCGTACTCCGGACGGAGACGGAGAACCTGATCAGGGAGGCCCAGATTCATGCAAATCCCGTCCCCCATCCCACCCGAAGCCGGTCGGAAGTAGGGTTTAAAGTTTAGGGTTTAGGGTTTAAGGTTTAGGGCTCAGGGTTCAGGGCTCAAGGTTACCCAAAATACGGGTTCACTGGCTGTAGATATGCTCATCCTACTTACAGTAGGGCTACCATGAGCCTGCAGGCAGGGGGTTCGATGCGTGTTTTTTTTTGGGTTTAGGGTTTAGGGTTTAGGGTTTAGGGTTTAGGGTTCAGCACCTCCGCAGCTTACGGGGCTCAGGGGCAAGGCCTCTCAGCCTTGGCTCCATTAAATGCTACATGGGTAGGCCTCTGCAACTAGGGTTTAGGGTTTAGGGTTTAGGGTTTAGGGTTTAGGGTTTAAAAGTTACATACAATTAGGGTCCCGTTTGGGGGTCCCCTTCCTTCAAAGGCTGCCGGAGCCTAAGTTAGAGAGCCGCATACGTCTTTACGAGGATCCCCCTGCACCCCCTCAAGGTTCCCGGTTGAGGGCTTGGCGTTGTTTTCTAGCCTTGAACCTTTGGGGTGTTGGAGGGGATCCTAGTTAGGGTCAAAGGGCCATTAGAGGCCGGAAGCGCCGAGAAGCGCTGGAGTTCAGGATTAGGGTTCAGGAGGGTCTAGGGCTTGGGCCCCCCGACACCCTCAGACCCAAGCTCGGACACACACCAGGAGCAAGAACAGCCCCCTGTACGCCCTGAGCCCCAAAACCCTGAAACCTTTAAACCCCAGGCCGAGATCAAGTGTTAAACCCTCAACCCGTTTTCAACCCGAAGACCAACACCCTGAACTTAAACCCTAAACCCTAAACCCTAAACCCTAAACCCTAAACCCTAAACCCTAAACCCTAAACCCTAAACCCTAAACCCTAAACCCTAAACCCTAAACCCTAAACCCTAAACCCTGAACCCTAAACCCTAAACCCTAAACCCGAAACCCGAAACCCGAAACCCGAAACCCGAAACCCGAAACCCGAAACCCTAAACCCTACACCCTAAACCCTCAACCCTAGACCCCAAATCCGAACCCTCAAGCCCTGAACCCCTCGCTGTCAGATCGACATGCTCAAGAAGCAGGCCGAGACAGATAGCAAGGCCTGGGCCAGGGGTGAAACCCGAAACCCGAAACCCGAAACCCTAAGCCCTAAGCCCTAAACCCTAAACCCTAAACCCTAAACCCTAAACCCTAAACCCTAAACCCTAAACCCTAAACCCTAAACCCTAAACCCTAAACCCTAAACCCTAAACCCTAAACCCTAAACGCCGGCTTCAAAACTTCAGGACTTCAGGATTCAGGAATTTATGGTTTCAGGGCTTTCAGGTCTTGGGCTTCTGGGTTTACGGGTTAGGGTTGAGGGTTTAGGGTTTCGGGTTTAGGGTGTAAGGTTGAGGGTTTCGGGGCCCCTGCGCACCCGTACGAGCCCCGAGATCCCAAACTTGGGCATGTTCCCCTTATACACTACCCAGTCCTTCGCAGGGACTATCATAGGATTTAGGGTGTAGGGTTTAAAATAGGGGTACTGTAATCCCTTTTCGGGGCTGTCAGTATAAGGGGGGAAAATGCCAATCCCAAACTCTTGAAGCCACCTTCCGGCGCCTTGCGCAGACGATCACGGACCTCCTCCGGGATCGCGAGTCGCTCAATCGATCGCTGATCCGCCCGGGGGCCCTGAGAAAGGAGGGGGGGGGGTTTAACGGGTCTTTAGGGGCTCTACTTTGGGTTTAGGAGGTATTTTGGACGTTGAACGGGTTAGGGGTCTTGAACGGGTTAGGGGTCTTGAGGGCTTGGGGGCTCGGAGGCCGTTCATTGTTTTGGTGGCTTCTTGGGTCCTTCCAGATGAGTTCCCCCTACTTTGGAGGATCGGAGGGCTGGGTAAGTAGGGCTGTTTCGGGTTTTTTGCGTTGTTAAGTGCCGGAGTGAACTAGGGCCCTTTTTCGGGGTGCTTGCAACTCTACTTTTGTACTTGCTTCCTAAGCTACAAAGGCTCCCGACTCGGGGCTGCGAGCCCCCTGAGCCCGCCCAAGCTCCCAAATCCTTAGGCCCAAAAACCCCTAGAACCCTCAACCGTTTGAACCCTCACACCCATGAACCCTAAAGCGCGAAAACCCTGCAAGCCCTGCAAAGCCCAAAAACCCCTGACCCTAAACCCTAAACGCTAAACCCTAAACCCTAAACCCTAAACCCTAAACCCTAAACCCTAAACCCTAAACCCTAGACCCTAGACCCTAAACCCTAAACCCTAAACCCTAAACCTAAACCCTAAACCCTAAACCCTAAACCCAAAACCCTAAACCCTAAACCCTAAACTCCAAACCCTTAACCCTAAACCCTAAACCCTAAAGGGCTCGCTTCTGCCTCCCGAAGGTTGCGACGACCGCACCAAGAATCAGACCAAGCTCGTGAGAACCCACGATGCCGCATTGCCCAGATGGCCGTGGGGGTAGGGTTCAGGGTTTAGGGACCCTAACGCCTCAACCCTAAACCCTAAACCCTAAACCCCAAACCCCAAACCCCAAACCCCAAACCCCAAACCCCAAACCCTAAACCCTAAGCCCTAAGCGTTCACCAGTTGTCCTGCTCCCGCACCCTGCCCGCTGGCATGTTGTGGCAACCATGGCAGCAGCCCACTGCCCCGAAGACAGCACCTCCCCGTACGAATCATGGTAAACCCTAAACCCTAAACCCTAAACCCTAAACCCTAAACCCTAAACCCTAAACCCTAAACCCCAAAACCGGCAATCTGTCCCTTCCCATGTTGCAGCCCTGAGGACACGGCCCAGCAGCTGGAGCATGATGTCAAGAAGGTAGGGGGGGGTTTAGGGTTAGGGTTTAGGGTTTAGGGTTTAGGGTTTAGGGTTTAGGGTTAAGGGGCGATTCCTGCCTGGTTTAGCCGTAATACGGTTTAGCGAAGATATGCCTTAGCGAATAAGGTTCAGCGAGTTTGGTCTAGCATAAACGGTTTAGCCGCTATTAGCGACTGCGGTTTAAGCAGTTCACATAGTAGTGTGCTAAAGCTGACCCAATCGATGCCCAAGCCTTCTTCCCAGACTCTGCACGCATGTGTTTCAGCAACCTTCAGTGATGCTGGGAACCGAATTCCCTGTAAGTTTCGCTTAAAGCATCGGCGTGTTAGGGCCTCGGCCGGGCCCTCGTGCGCCCGGTTTCGGCAAGATGGGGTTGTTAGCTTCGCAGAAACTTTAGGGAACAACTCAGCCGTATACAATTTGCATTTCAAGTTCTTTGCTGAATGAGATAGAGAAAGAGACACAGACAGACGAAGGCAGATAGTTCACGTGACTAAACCCTAATGGGCGGAACTGGTTACGGATGGGAGCCTGCGCGCGCTTCTCGTGGGCGCGGGCAGAGAACAAATGGCGCAGCCGATGCAAGGCCCTCCTCCATTTTCAAGATCTCTCGGGCAGATGCCGAGGTCGCATTCGAAAGCCTAAACCCTAAACCCCAAACCCTAAGCCCTACACCCTTGTGTTGAGACACCTCCAAACCCTAAACCCTCAACACTCAGCCCTAGGCCCTCAGCTTCCTTTGGACCCCCCCTAAAGCCCCCCCAAAACCTCCTCTAGACAAGCCAAAAGCCCCCGAAACCCCCTCAACTCCCGAAAGAACCCTAGACCACCTAAACCGCCTAAATCCCAAACCCTGACTTCCCCACCCGAAACCCGAAACCCGAAACCCGAAACCCGAAACCCTAAACCTTAAACCCTACAAACCCTCAAGCCGCCAACAGGTCAAGCTGGACGTGCAGGAGGCGATCCAAAAGGCCGGGCGCCTGGGTGGGGCCCATGCTTCTTGTGTTTTTTCAGGGAGTACGAAAGCCTAAACCTTCAACCCTAAGCCCCCTAAACCCTAAACCCAAGCCCTGAACCCCAAAACCTAAACCCTAAACCCCAAACCCGAAGCCCCAAACCCCAAACCCTAAACGCCAAACCCCAAACCCTAAGCCCTGAGCCCCCCAAACCCCGAACCCTGAACCCTAAACCCCAAACCCGAAACCCTAAGCCCCAAACCCCAAACCCCAAACCCCGAACCCTAAACCCTAAACCCCAAACCCTAAACCCTAAACCCCAAACCCGAAGCCCCAAACCCTGCTCTGCAGGCCTACGGCCTGGACAAGACACGGGAGAAGTATGGCCTCGAGCCGCCCAGCAGCAAAGTCACTGGAACTTGTCGGCTTTGGCTGGGGTTTAGGGTTTAGGGTTTAGGGTTTGGGGCTTAGAGTTTAGGGTTTCGGGTTTCGGGTTTAGGATTTGGGGTTTAGGGTCCCTGAACCTCCCAGGGACTTACTGGTAGGGTTAAGGGTTTAAGGAATGAAGGGTTGGGGGTTCTAGGGGTTTAAGGGTTGAAGGGTTGAGGGGTTTAGAGGTTTAAGGGTTTAAGGGTTCGGGGGTTTGGGGCTTCAAGGGTTTCAGGGTGCGAGGGCTTAGTTTAAGCGGGTGAGGACATCCTAAACCCTAAAGATGTTTTGCATCCCGACTTGACAACCTTGTGCTGTCGAGATTCTTCGATTCTTCCCATGTTTTTTTTATATTCTGATGTCATGGCGAACTGTCGTCACGGAGGGATGCGTAGCTACAAGCAGAGTTACGCGTAATTATCCCAACTAAGGCGACAGCCAGTTGCACTTGTAACCCTACTCATCCTCCAAGTCCCCGCATTCTACCTGCTGAAGGGCCCCCCGTGTTGAGCTCGCACCCAGGTGCTGCATGGCCAACAGCAAGTACATGAGTGCCCTTGAGGCCGGGCTTGCTGGGAGTTGCGATTTCTGGAGCTTCTGAGGGTTTAGGGTTTAGGGTCTGGGGTTCAGGGTTTGCTAAACCCTGAACCCCAAACCCCAAACCCCAAACCCCAAACCCCAAACCCTAAACCCTAAACCCCAAACCCTAAACCCTAAACCCTAAACCCTAAACCCTAAACCCTGAACCCTGGGGACTCCGGGTCTTAAGGTGGGCGGCTTGACGTCTCACGCACATGTAGAATCCATGAACCCCCCAAGTAGGCTTCCCACTTCAGACCCTGCCTCGGTTGGAAGTTCCCTCATTTACACCCAGACCCTAAACCCAAAACCCTAAACCCGAAACCCTACACCCCTAAAGCCTAAACTCGAAACCCTAAACCCTAAACCCTGAACCCCCTGCAAGGCTTAGCACATGCCTTCTTGGCCCATCATATGGGCGCTTCGGCCCTGCAGCAGGAGCTGAAGAATCGAGACAACAAGATGTCGGAGCTGAAGAAGAACTTCGCAGACGCAGCGCGCCTGGTGACTTCTGGGATTGGCAAAGGCCACCACTGAGCCCCAAGAACCCCAAAGCCCAAGACCCTACCCTACGGCTCGTGAGGCTGTAGGGGCACATTGGGATTTTTGTACGTGCGGCGAGCTCAACGTCTTGAGCTCGGCTGGAGCCCGAGACCCTCAACCCTAAACCCTAAACCCTGAAGCCTGAAGGCTTCAATCTTGCAGTCATTGGGAAGGAACACGGGAATACAAAGCATCTGAGAGCTTCTTCTTGTGCCTGTGGCCCTGGGCTTGTGCATGCCGTCGCTGGCAACAGCTGTTTGAGCTAGGGTTTTGGGGGTTTGTATCGGCCCAGCACTGTCGGAGAATCTAGGGGCCTACTTCATTCAATCAAACTGGGCATTTCGGGTAGTTTCTGGCCTTCGTATACATAAGGGGCTCTTACGGGCTTTATTGATCGTCTCGCCGGCCGCTCTTCAGGGTTTCAACCCGAAAACGTCGTCGTCGCAGCCATGGCCCGCAGCCTTGCCAGCACAGACGTGCCCAGGCACTGGGCTTCGGCTGCTTGTCCCTAACCTCGCAACTCGCAGCGCTCAACCCAAATGCTACCAGGGCATAAGCCCTAAGCCTTAAACTCTACACCCTAAACCCTAAACCCTAAACCCAAAAAAAACCCTAAACCCCAAAACCCTCAACTACGAGCATCATGCCGCAGGCGCACCCCCCATCCATTTTTGATAGTGCACTCTTCGTGGGTCGCGTCGTCAACGCTTGGAGTCGGAGTACGTGTGGCGTTGTTCTACAAGGTTTAGGGTTTAGGGTTTAGGTTTAGGGTTTAGGGTTTCGGGTTTAGGAAGCGGAGACAGAATTTACTAACAGAACGAACCCCTTCATTTCCAGATTTTCGGATTCAGGGCCTTTAGGGTTCAGGATTTAGGATTCAAGCCTTTAGGCACCCCCGCCAGATTTTCCGTACCCGCAGTTCAAAATGCTATTTTTTAGTATTGGAATTGATGGTTTCCCTGGCTGGCGGGACGCGGCGGGCCCCTGACGGGCGGGAGGCCCCCTTACGGCCCCTTACGGGCGGGAGGCCCCCTTACGAGCGAAAGAGCACCCCCGTCAAAGCGCCCCCGCCAGAGCACCCCCGCCAGAGCACCCCCGCCGTTTCGGGTTTAGGGTTTAGGGTTCAGGGTGTAGAGTTCAGTTTTTAGGGCGGGGGGTTCAGGCTTTAGGGTTTCGGGTCTAGGGTTTAGTCCTTGGGGTCATGTTTGGGTACCTGTCTACGGCCACGTTTAATAAAGGCCTCCAAGTGGACTTCCAGCGTGCTCTCGCCATGCTTGAATCTCCACTTCGAGGCGTCAGCTTGATCTTGAGAAGTCAGAGATTAAGGTTCAGGGTTTAGGGTTTAGGGTTTAGGGTTTGGGGTGTAGGGTTTGGGGTTTAGGGTTTAGGGTTTAGGGTCGGGTATTTCGGCTTTTTGGGTTTTAGGCTGCGGCGTGGCCAGAAGAACGGAGGAGGGAGGAGCTGCTACGCGGAGTCATCCTGCTGTTGCGGCTGCACCCAGGCCCTTCAGCCGCAAGGCATGCGTTGCCAAGCGCTTCAGCTGATCTGCCCAGCTGCGCACAAGCCATCTCCAAGACTTTTGCGGAGCAACAGCTTCTTCTCGGCAAGCACGCTGACACCCTAAACCTGAAACGCTAAACCCCAAACCCTAAACCCCTAAACCCGGAGCGCAGGGTTAGGTTACACTTTTTCGCCAGGGTCGCCGCTTTCGCAGAACGTGGAACGCTCGGGGGCATTGGATATTCCGAAGATGGGGAAGCCCAAAACACGATAATCCCCTAAACCCTACTTAAGCCCTAAACCCTAAACCCTAAACCCTAAACCCTCCAGCCTACCCCTCACCCCTAGACCCTAAACCCTAAACCCTAAACCCTAAACCCCAAACCCCCCAAAAACGCTTGCCAGGCCGGAGGAGCTGGAGTTGCGCATCCTCCTCGGTGGCCTCGAGGCCCTGGGCACCCCTCTTGGCTCCTTCTTTCCCCTCATGGAAGGAGGGGTTTAGGGTTTAGGGTTTAGGGTTGAGGGTTTAGGGGTGTTTAGTGGTAACCTTTACAATTAAACTTTAGTAAGACCCAAAGCCCTATGCTAATTATCAAGGCGCCTATGTTACACCTCTACAACCCCAAGCCATAAACCCTGAAACCCCAAGCCCTCAGCCCTTATCACCATGCTTGAAAGATGAACCACATGTGCTGATGAAAACATCAGCTGTTTCACTTGTGTGGATCGGATTGACTCTCCACGTCCGCATCGGCCTCAAGCTCTAGACCCTAAAACCCAATCCCTAAACGCCCTTCCTTTGAGGCACGTTTGGAGAACTTCCTCGACCAACGGTCCCCAGCCCCAGTGGGAGGAAGCCTTATTGCTTCAGGGTTCAGGGTTTAGGGTTTAGGGTTCAGGGTTTAGGGTTCAGGGTTTAGGGTTCAGGGTTTAGGGTTCAGGGTTTAGGGTTCAGGGTTTGGGGTTCAGGCCCAGAATATTCGAGTTTAGCATGTAGGGTCCTGAGGCACCGACTTTGGAGGTGCAAGGGTGGTTAGGTTGTGAGTTACTGTGGAAGGGGTCCCTCAACCCTAAAGACCCTCCCCCTCAACTCTGCCCTAACATCTTATTGCAAGAGGTCACCAGCCCTTTCATGCCCCCTGGTCCTGAGCCCCTTCGACCACTGCAGGAGCTTGCTCAAAAAGAATCCCTACTCCCTGCACCCCGAAGTCCGAACACCCCCCGAGGCTGAATGAGATGGTTGACCAGCAGGCGAAGCTGCATGACCAACTTCTCGGCAAGCTGCACTTGGCCAGCTCGGCCAGGGGGCCGAAGAGGCCTGGTCTTGGGTTTTGAACCCCAAAGCCCGAAACCTTATTCCTAGCTAGGATAGAGGGGGACCCTGAAAAAGGCGAACCCTTCATGGCTCTCTTAAAGAGCGACCCTCATTGAGAGGGTCTATACCCCCAAGGGGTCCCTCGAATCCTATTCCCCTACTTTCAATCCCCTGCCTGGGATGCAGCCTTCATGCTTTCCGTCCTCATCAGCCCATGGCTGCACCCCTAAACCCCTAACCCTAAACCCCTAAGCCCTAAGCCCTAAACCCAGGCTTTCGGCTAGCCAGCTTGCAAGTAGTGCACGTGCCAGTTTTCGAGAGGCCTCCCCTTTGGCCACACCGCCTCTAAGAGGCAAGTTTCACTTATCTTCGAAGCCATGACAGACCCAGCGCGTGGAAGCCAGGAACAGTTCCAAGCAGCCTTCCAACAGCAAAGGGAGTTCTACGCTAGGACAAACGTCCTATGGCAGCAAAAAATCACACGGAAAAAGAAGCCTAAACAGAATGGGCCCCAGACCACACCGCCTCTAGCTTACAATCGCAAGCTTAGAGTCGGTAGTCAGAATGTGCAAGGTATGGCTGATACCCTCAAGCTCAAAAACCTGTTGCTTATGATGAAGGAACACAACCTGGATGTTATGTTCCTATCAGAAACTAAATCGACTTCGTATTACTCCTATACCTCAGAGCAACACTTAGTCGTTTTGTCTGGTAATAACAAAGATAAGCACTCTGGGGTAGGGGTTATAGTGAGTCCAGACATCCGACCACACCTTGCTGACATAGTCCAGGTCAACAATAGGCTTATTCATATCATACTCAACAAGAGGGGAGGTAGGATACACTTGTTAGGAGCGTATGCGCCACATTCAGGTCATGATCATGACACAGTTCGGCAACCGTTTTGGGAATCCCTAGAGGAATATGTGGCGAAAATACCCCAACCAGAACCAGTGTATCTTACGGGTGATTTTAATGTTCGGTTTCAAGCACAACACAAACATGATGAGGGCGTTACAGGGCCATTCACATACGGAAAGGGTTCGCAAGCTATCGACCACACCGCCCAATCCAACCGCTCGTTGTGCGTTCGAACAATGCTTCTTCTAGATATGCTGGAGGTCGCCTCATACAAAACACCCAACCCAGTTCACCACATCACTTTCCGGGATAAAACAGCCCCCCCAAAGGATTGGTCGCAGTACGTCTTGGACCCTTTGATCATGCAGCAGGTGTATTCAGAGCTACATAGAGTGATGCCATCACAATCCTTGGAAGTAGCGGCCAGAATACGCAGCTTCTTACCGCTGGCGCAACCTCTTCCTCCGCCCCGAGTAGATCCCTCACCCGACCCCGTTCGCTTTCAGCGGCTAGACCACACCTTCACTAGGAGACAATGGCTTTCATCCGTTAACTCATGTAGATCTAAATTGCATACAGGGTACCCGTCGGACCATTATCTCCTGGTAACGGAAGTGCAGGTTAAGTTGGCACGTAGAGACCCCCCACCACCAAAGCCCCCAGAATTTGACTTCTCTAGAGTAAGCATTGATCAAAGACTGGCTTATAACGCACAAATTCGGGGCTCCCCGCAAAGTAGCCGTAAGGATGGGTCTTCTGACTCTGACCACACCGCCAGAATGAGCTTCTATACGGACGGCTCGGGAACAGGTGGACGATGCACAAAAACAACACCAGCGGGCTGGGGATGGTGTACCAAGCAACACGGGGAGTGGATCACCGCGCGGGGCAGGGTGGAAACTGACCACACCGCCAGATTTTACTATGGGGCCCAGGTAGGTTCTAACAACACTGGGGAGCTGACAGCTATTATAGAGGCACTATTATACGCCTTGGAGCAAGGTTGCGGTAGAGTAGATATATACTCGGACAGCCAGTGGGCCATCAACGTCATCACGGGCAGATGGCGTGCAAAATCACATAAAACACTAGTTGGCCGTGCACACACACTCTCAACACAAACAGGAATGACAGTCTCGTTTCATTGGGTCAAGGCGCACGCAGGCACCGAAGGTAACGAAAAGGCGGATGCGCTCGCCAACGCTGGGCGTACACAGGGGCGCAACGGCGGAAGTAACATGGTTCCCCCGGACACTCCGCCCCAGGACCACACCCCCACCATGTCAGCGGACACCATGGTGCACGCCATGAAGCAGGCTGCGGCGGATCACTTTCCTTACAAAGAACGACGCGCGCACACACCATGGATCAAAGATCACACCCTACAGCTCCTGGCCCAGGCACGGGCAGCGCAAGCGGAAGGTCGCGAAGATTGGAAAACGCAAAGAAACAAAGCCAAGAGGGCAGCGCGCAAGGATAGAATCGACTGGGTTCATGACCAACTTTTAGCAGACCCGGATGCCAGTCACTCACCGCTTTGGAATGCAGTTCGCCGACAGAAAAAAGGTTTCGTGGGGAAAAAATCGCATCTAATTGTAAACGGGAAGCCAGTCCCATGGTCAAAATCGCACGCCGCTTTCAGGGATCACCTCGAGGGTTCGCAATGGGCTCCGCCCAACATCCCTGACCACACCGCCGCTAGACGTAAAGCTAGACCGGGATTACGTCCACAACTCCCTGATGAAGGACGGTTCACTTTGGACGACCTTCAACGGGCCATTCAAAAAAGTAAAGGCGGAAAGGCTCCGGGACCGGACCAGGTGAGGAACGAGTTGTTTATGCTATTAGACAGGGAAGGAGAAGCAGCGCTCTTGAATATCTACAACAAATGTTGGGCAGAAGGCGACATCCCGGGACCATGGGCCGAAGCAATAGTAGTGTCAATATATAAGGGTAAAGGCCTAGACACAGACGTCACCAACTATCGACCCATTTCTTTACTTAACACCATTTACAAAATATACGCTGCTATGCTACAACACCGCCTCGCAAAATCAAGTGAGCATTTCCTTCGCAGTCGACAGTACGGTTTTCGAGAAGGTAGAGGCACACAACAGCCCATATTTGTTTTACGCCGCGCCATGGAGTGGGCGGAAATGACAAACAAACCATTACAACTATTATTCCTAGACTGGAAACAGGCCTTTGACTCACTCGACCACACCGCCATGCTCGAAGCGTTGCGCCGTTTCGGTGTTTCAGAACTTATGCTCAAGACAATACAGGCTATATATCAGTCTCCAACCTTTTACACCAGAGGACCTGACCACACCGCCGCAGCAGGCTCTGTACACTCAGGTATTAGGCAAGGATGTCCCCTAAGCCCATATCTGTTTATTATAGTACTCACAGTCATGCTTGCGGATGTTGATAACGACTTACTACTCCAAGGCACGCCCACCAACACATGGTCAGAAGGCTATCCAACGTTCGATTTAGAGTACGCGGATGACACGTTGTTGTTAGCTTTGACCACACCGCAGATGCAGGCCATTCTCACATCATTAGAGTCAGTAGCACATGAATACGGTATGCACCTAAATAAAACCAAGACTGAGCTCCTAATCAATCCCGATCGCCCCTCCTCTCCGCTATACTTTACGGATGGCGCGGCCGTCCCGACCACACCGCAAATCAAGTATTTAGGCACCAGGATCACATGGAAAAAACCCTTTGACGCCGCATTCTTACATAGAGCAGCTATAGCCGAGGAAGCATTTAAGAAGCTCCGCCTAGTATGGAACAGTAGCCTTTCCCAGGCGGTACGTTTACGTATTTTCCAGTCTACCTTCACGCCCACACTTATTTACGCGTTGGATACCCTCACTCTTACGCAAAAACAACTAGACAGGGTGGATGCTTTCTTCATTCGGTTCCTAAGAAGAGTGGTTCGCGTCAAAGCATCCTACTACTCCCGCATCCCAAACACGGAAGTTATGAGAAAAGCAGGATATCCAACCCTACCATCTACACACATCCTCAACGCCCAGCATAAAACCCTTAAACAAGTATTTATGGCCCCCAGAGCGGAACCAACACATAGTGTGGTTTTTACAGCTGCCTTTAAGGACCGTATTCTAGCGCAAGGAAGACGTCGCGGAATGCAGATACCATACTGGTTAGAAGTCCTCACTAAAAGATTTTACCCGCAGTATTGGGATCCTGACCACACCGCCCGTACCCGCACCCTAGGCCCACACTTCAAGTATGTCGAAATAGCTAGGGTCATTCGGGAGTCAGACAGTTCCGGGAGGGCGCCAAAGCGCGCAGCTGCATCGCGCGCACGGCCCTGACAAAAAAAAAGCCCTAAACCCTAAACCCTAAACCCTGAACCCTGAACCCTAAACCCCCAAACTCTGCACCCCTCAGCCTCTAAGCCCTTTAAAGGGTATAACATAGGGGGCCCTCTGTAATTCCTTAAAGGGTATATATAGGACCCTGTGTAATCCCTCAAAGGGGTCCGAGTCCCTGGTTCCCCCTTTCAGGGTTGCCGACCGCAGCGAGTCTCAGAGTTCCCTCTGGCCCTACTCTGGCTCGGAACGCGGGTGGCTCGAGCGGCTACTTACGCAGTGTATATTTATGTGTATATATATATATACACATATATACATATAGTGATTTATACATACATGTATATCCATATACATACATACATACATACGTACATACATACAGACATACATACATATATATATATATGTATATGTATGCGTAGTTGTAGCCATACTAGAAATATAGCAACAGTTTGAATCAATTGTTATCGATTTCTCTTGGCTTTGTCTTGGATGGGGGTTTAGTGTTTAGCGTTTGGGGCTGAGGACTTGAGGATTTAGAATACTTAGCAGAGAGCTCTTCGTGGAGCTCTGACCATAGAGGGCACAATAAACTGGTATCTGAACAGGGGTGGGGTTGGCCCCGGGAGGGGGGGGGGCAGGTTGTGTTGCCAAGACCCTAACCTAAACCCCGATACCCTAACCCCTCAAGGCCAGGATAAAAAGCCATTGTATGTGAGTCACTCAGAACGTGCAATTTCAATTTCTCGGAGCTTGCAGTTTCGATGGGCTAAAATAATCCTTCAAAGAACCCAACAGGCAACAAAGAGGCCCGAAAGGCCCAAGAAGGAAGCAGAGAGCAACGAAAACAAAGCCCCCACCCCTGCCCCCCAAAACAAAAACGACAAAACAAAAATAAAAAGAAAATAGAAGAAGTGAAAAACACAACCTGGCAGAACACCCCAAGACTCCGGACACAAACCCCGTACAAATTCTATAAATCCTGATGCCTTAAAGGAGCTCCTGGGGCCGACCTCAAAGCCTCAGATCGCCTCAATACCCGCCCCTTTTTGTTGGGATCCCTCGCCGCTTCCCCGCTTCCTGGTAGGCCGAAAAGATTGGGGTTCAGGGTTTCGGGTTTCGGGTTTAGGGTTTCGGGTTTCGGGTTTAGGGTTTAGGGTTTTTCAGAAGGTGGGGGGGGGGGGGGGGGGGGGGGCGGTGAGACAGGGTTTAACGGCCCAACAAGTGTTGAGCGTGCCACGACAAGCAACACCAATGCCCCGACAGGCCCGCCGTCGGAGGGGGCGGTATACCCTAAACCCTAAACCCTAAACCCTAAACCCTAAACCCTAAACCCTAAACCCCATGCTGAAGCCCTTTGTCTTGCCAAATCCCAGGCCAAGCCACCAGGGCCGCAAGATCGTGGCGCCCAGCCTGGCCGAGCTGGAGTCGGCGATGATGCCGGACCTCCGCAAGCTTGGGGAGTTGACTTGGTTCAGGGTTTAGGGTTTAGGGTTTAGGGTTTAGGGTTTAGGGTTTAGGGTTTAGGATTTAGGGTTTAGGGTTTAGGGTTTAGGGATATTCGAACCCTGAACCCTAAACCCGCAATCCTAAATCCTAAGCCCTAAAAACCCCTGGAGTCCTGGGTTTGAGGGGGGCACTTGTCCACGTGCGCTTTAGAGAGAGAAACGCACTAGGGTTTAGGGTTTAGGGTTTAGGGCTAGGGGTTCTGTTAGAAACTGACCCAGCAAACATGAACCAGTCCAACTGCCGTGCCAAAGAGATCGAACATGTCCAGCCCTTTCATTCTCAACCAAACCAGACATTCCTGTAGATTTGTCAAAGCGACAATGCAACTTGCTCAAAAACGGACCTTCCACAAACCAAGCAAGGGTGGTGAAACATCGACCATGCTCCAATTCGTTTTTTAGGGTTTAGGGTTTCGGTTTAACCCTAATCCCTAAACCCTCAGGGCCATGAATTATATGTGATTCACTCAGAAATATGGCAATTTCGATAGGCTACAATATTGGTTCAATTTCTCAGAGCTTGCAGTTTCGATGGGCAACACGAATCCTTGAAGCGAGCAAGGGAACCCCAAACCCTAAACCCTAAACCACAAAGGGCCAGGCATCTGAGTCAAGTCCTTTGCTTCAAGGCACAACCGGCAGGCCGTTCAAGCCCCAAATGAGCCCCCACTGTAGGGTTTAGGGTTTAGGCTCCCAGCAACCTGCAAGCCCTGCATAGACCTTGCAAAGCCACCGCGCTAGCGAGAAGGATTTAGGGATAGGGTCTAGGGCTTATCGGGCCTTTAAGTGTAGAGAGCAGGGACTTTGTGACCCTGGACCCTGCGTCGCCCTGTAAGCCTATCACCAAAAGCCCTATATGCCCTAGACCCTATCCCTAAATCCTTCTCGCCCTATAGCCTATCAACCCTGTACTTATCCCTGAACCCAGAAGGCTCTAAACCCTATCCCTGAACCCCCTATAAACCTAATCTAAACCCTATCCCTACACCCTATAAACCCTGTAAACCCTATAAACTCTCCCTATCCCTAAGCCCTACACACCTTGTGTACACTACAAGCCCTGCCGTAAGCCCTGTAAGCCCTCTTGTCAGCCCTACAAACGCCCTAAACACTATAAACCCTGTAAACCCTTTAGACCCTATATACCCTATAAACCCTAAAACCCTATAAAAACCCTATAGACCCTGCTTTAACCCTAAAAAGCCTACAAACAAGACAAACCCTATAAACCCTAAACCCCTAAGCATTTGGCCCTGAAGCTTTCAGGACCTCGCGGGCATCTGTCGCATGCAGGCCAGGGGAAAACCCTAAACCGGTTCGTGGTTTGGGGTTTGGAGGTTCCGTGTGTAGGATCTCAGGGGTTTAGGGTTTAGGGTTTAGGGGCACAGGGTTTAGGGGCATAGGGTTTGGGGGTTAGGAAGCATTGGGGCTTGGAAGGCTTGCTTCAGTGTTGGCAGGCGCAGGACACGGGATTCGCTTTAGTCTTCATGCAAATTATGCCGGCGTAATTTAGGGGCCACAACAAGTAGAATAGGGTTTTGGGGGTCAGTTCTGCTCAGGGGTTTAGGGATTAGGGTGTAGGGGTTTAGGGGTTTAGGGTTTAGGGTTTAGGGTGCAGGGGTTTAGGGTTTAGGGTGTGGGGTTTCGGGTGCAGGTTTAGGGTTGCGGGTCTCCTTGGGGCGGATGCACGAAGCGACGCTCACCCAAGAGCCCCTAAACCCTAAACCTCCGACCCCAAGCCCTAAACCCTAAATCTAAACCCTAAACCCTAAACCCTAAACCTTAAACCCTAAACACTAAATCCCTCAACACCATAAAACCCTCAGCCCCAAGCCCTCAGCGTTTCCTCGCTCTTCCCCATTTTTTTTGTTCTCGTCCGCCAGTCGCGCAGCGGAGATATTCCTTCTGCGCGGGGCTCCGCTTCCATCTCTTCAGTGCTGCCCTGCGTTGCCAAGGCCGCGGGTGTGCTCCCAACAAGCACTCTAAAGTCTCTAAAGGCTGATAGGAGTTTAGGGGTTTAGGGGTGTAGGGGTTTAGGGGTTGAGGGGTTTAGGGGTTTAGGGGTTTAGGGGTTTAGGGGTGTAGGGGTTTAGGGGTGTAGGGGTTTAGGGGTTTAGGGGTTTAGGGGTTTAGGGGTGTAGGGGTTTAGGGGTGTAGGGGTTTAGGGGTGTAGGGGTGTAGGGGTTTAGGGGTTTAGGGGTGTTGGGCTTTAGGGTTAGCCTTGGAGGCTTGTGTTAGGGTTTTTGGCTTGAAGGTTCCTAGCTAAAGCAGGGTTACGAAGTTTGGCCCTGAGAACCGGCCAAACCCCAAGCCTCCAGCCTGACTCTAGAACCCGAACCCTTGAACCCTGAAGCCGAACCCCAAACCTCAAACCCTAACCCGAAACCCGAAGCCGAAACCCTCAACCTTAATCCTGAACCCGAAACCCTAAACCCTAAACCCTAAGCACTAAACCCTAAACCCTAAACCCTGAACCCCAAACCCTAATAAACCCTAAACCCTAGCCCTGAACCCTGAACCCTGAACCTTAAACCCCCTCCAACTCTACGTCCAAAACTCCGAGCCTGAACCAGAAAACCAGGTCGACCCCGCAATGCTGCCTGGGTCGACGGGAGCGCTGTGGGCGTACGAAACCTTTAACCTTAGCCCTAAACCCTAAACCCTAAACCCTAAACCCTCAACCCTAAATTTTAGGGAGGGCGGGGTTGGTGGATTCAGGGTTCAGGCGTTTCGACTCGGGGTGCAAGGGTTCAAGGGTTGCTCTATATATATATATATATATATATATATATATATATATATATAAGGACCCCTATTTGACATCGTTTTGGAGGGCGTTTCGTCTTCGAGGTTTCAGGGGCGCAAAGGGTTTAAGGTTTAAGGTTTAGGGTTTAGGGTTTAGGGCTTAGGGGTTAGGGATGCAGGGCCCATCAACCTTTTCAGCCTTTGCTTCTTGGGCGGAGAGGCATCTTTTTTTCTGGAGTTCTGTGTTGTTTCTCTTAGGGTTTGGCTCTTGTCCGTGAGCGGATTCTCTATTTTTTAAATAGAAAAACGCTATTTTCTCTATATTTTTTAAAATGGGAAAGCCCTGTTTTTCCCTATGTTTTAATGGGAAAGCGCTGAATTTCTCTACATGTGAATAGGAAATCCCGTTTGTTTTTGTTGTTGTTCTTGTTTTTGTTTTTCACGTTCTCTCATCATTTTTGATCGGAAAACTTCAAATTATCGAAATGTTGAATAGGAAAAACTCCATTTTCTCTACATCATCTTGCTCCAGAATGACCAGCAGCCCTGGGATCCTATACTGCTCCAGTTTCCAACGTAACGCAACTAACCCTAAACCCCAATGTTCCCGCCGTTCCGGCCCTTGAAGGGGGGGGATGTCCGCTGCAGGAGAGACCCAACACGACCCGCCTGGTCGGCGGTCGGTGGAACTGGAGGCTGTCGTTCTACCGAAGCCTTAAACCCTAAGCCCTAAGCCCTAAGCCCTAAGCCCTAAGCCCTAAGCCCTAAGCCCTAAGCCCTAAGCCCTAAGCCCTAAGCCCTAAGCCCTAAGCCCTAAGCCCTAAACCCTAAACCCTAAACCCTAAACCCTAAACCCTAAACCCTAAACCCTAAACCCAGCCCTAAACTCCGAACTCTAAGCGGGTGGCCTCGAGGACTCCCCGGTCGCAGCATTCTCTCCTAATCCTGTCAAGCCAAAGACCCCAGTACCGTTTAAGCAAAGATTATTCTTGGGTTAGGGTTTAGAGTTGAGGGTTGAGGGTTTAGGGTTTAGAGTTGAGGGTTGAGGGTTTAGGGTTTAGGGTTCATTGGAATTGTTCAGGGTCCGGGGAAAGTTTCGAGGAAAGCTTCGTGGATTTGAACTTTAGAATATTTTCAAGTTACAAGGAATGCCATTGAGGGAGGGTATGGGCAGCTTAAACCCTCACCCGGATTGTGACTTGCGGTTTTGAGCGTAATTCTTGAGGCTTATGGAACCCTAAAACCCAAAACCCAAAAGCCAAAAGCCAAAACCCAAAACCCAAAACCCAAAACCCTAAACCCTAAACCCTAAACCTTAAACCCTAATGCCATATCCATGTCGCCGATCTCATGTGACATGCCAGGCCCCAAGTCCTAAACCCTACACCCTAAACCCTAAACCCTAAACCTTAACCCCTTAAACCTAAACCCTAAACCCTACTAGGGATCTGGTATCCTTGGGGTTGCGGCTTTGTTTCTGATTCTGCTTAGCGAAGTAAGTCCCTCTCCTTGGGCAGGAACCAAAGACACTAACTTTTGTAGGGTGTGGGGCTTCGGCTTTCGGCTTTCGGTGCTATAGAGTCCAGTCGGACGCAGCGTACTATACACATCATAGCAATGAGGCCTAGCGAATTAAGTGCAAAGCTGTGCGGTCTCGCGGGCCTCCAGCCAGCGTGCAACTGCAGGCGAGTGCCAGCCTGTACGGATGCGCTCCGCGCAATCCGGTGATTCCATCAGCTCGAAGGCAAGCTCCTCCAGAGGCTTCGCCAACGGCAGGACCGGTCCAATTAACCGGACAGCAGGAAGAGACTGGCAAGGCCCATCCGATCTAGTGTAACCCTCAGCAACCGACCTATAATCGTGCTCAACCAGGCGGGTCAGGCAAGACAACGAATCGTGCTGGAGGTGTCTACACAACCGTCGGTGGGTCCAAAACTGTGTGAAGCAAACCGGGCAGCAGGAGCCGGACACGTACTCTGCTGCCTGGCAGCGCACCCTATGCTGTGCGAACTGGTGGGCTGCGCGCTTTTGCTGGCTGTCAAAACAGCGTTCACAGTGCGCGCAGCGGAATTGCACACCAGATGCTTCGCTCGGCGCCTTCTGCGGATTGTCCCACAACGGCTCATGCGAGGCGCTGTGACAACCTCTCAAGGCCTTGCGCACTGCCGCTCTAAGCTGCACCGGCTGCTCAACCGCCCAACGCAAGGCACCATCTGGGAAGTGCTTCAGCGCCCATTCCGGTACCTTGGCATTGGCCGCCAGCCAAGCCAAGTCCTGCTTCAGCAGACCCAGCCATGAGATTTCTCCGTAACAGAGATCAGCGCGCAGCAACGCGTAGAGGGTTTCATGTGCTGGGACAAGACGGCAGAAGTGCATGAGGCGCTGGCCTTTCAAGAAGGCACACGGGGAAGGGGATCCAAAGCATCTGCAGACTGCCTTTTCATCCGGAAGTGAGGGGGCACCAGTCCACCTATCGTCCGCGCCAAGGAGCCTATGTAAAGCGGTATACCCTTTCCGCCAGGCCTCCCTTTCTTGCACTGTCATAGGCCCCCACGTGGCTGCCGTGCAACTAGCTGCCGACAGCGCAAGCGACTGCAAACAGAGGCGTCTGGAAGCAAGTGGGATGTGTGGGCTTCGGAGAAAGGGCCTGGCGAGAGGGCGCACCTGACGGCTGCCTGTAGCAATGTGCTGCACAATATCTGCGAGCACTGTGGGCCTCTCCTCTACCCTGCCACCAAGATGGAGGTACGACTGTACACATCCCACCTGTATGACCTCCTGATTTGCCCCGACAAAGGGGATTTTGCCACCGTCCCACACATGTACACGCCTTCTTAGAGCTGGGGCCCCCTTGCCTCTAAAGGTGAGCAAAAGCTCTGTCTTGCCACGCGAGTAATTCGGCTGCATGCCTCTGATGACAAAGCTTCTGTTAACCACAGTGAGCACGCTCTTCATACGGCATAGAAGGGCATTCGCATCGGCATCCGCGAACAACATCGCGGTGTCGTCCGCCCAGACAGGCGCAAGGAGTCTGGGGGCTAACTCTGCCCTCATCTGCAAGGGGTCACTCAGCAGCTCTTCGGACTCGAGGGCGGTTTGTGTGGCATTGAGAAAATCGGCTTGGACGAGCGCGAAAAGTAAATCTGCGACCGAATCGCCAGGCCTGGTGCCAGCGTTCGTGGCGATGGTTCCTGCTGCGCCTCTCATTTGAAAGAACGTGCCTGACAAAAACTCCTTGATAAGACGCGAGGTGTGCTCCGGTGCCTTTTGCAACAGATTGGTCTGGTAAATCCAGCTGCACACTTCACTGACTACGGCCGGCTGGACCTGGAGCCTCTGCAGCAGTGCACAAAGGGCCGCATCATCCTCAGGCTCTGAGTCCCACAGCGCCTGCCGCAGGACTCTGTAGTATGCAGAGGCAACATCGAGGAAGAGCACGGCAGAGGAAACCTGTGCGTGGGCCGCAAGCGAGACATATGTACGCACCGTATGATGGGCCGCCTGGAGTAGTGACCCTGGGATTCCACCTTGCATCAGGTCGTTCTCCGGCAGAGCTGCGAGAAGAGCGGGCCGCACACCACGTCGCAGTCTTTTTCCGGGGCCATCCATGAGGGCAATAGCCCTGAAGTTGGCTACACATGTCACTGCCCCTTTACCCTTAAACATGGCAATCAGGCATGTGGATTTGAATTGCACAGGTTCGCAGAGGCGGACATGCGTTTTGAGATAGATAGGGTAGAAAGCACGAGCGGCCGCGACTGGGTCCAGCTTCCAGACCCAATCGGGAATGCCACACGGCCCAGGAGCTTTCGCATTCTTGCCTTTGCGCAGACCACATTCAACTTCACATAGGGTAGGCAAGTCTGCGAGACAGAAGGTGGCGTCGGGTGGGGCGTGTGCATATCTCTGATTGGCCTCCTTGACGTATTGCTCAGCTGAAGTCTGAACCCCCCCTTCCAAGCTGGCAAAATGTTCAGCTTGAAGCAGGGCCAGGTCGGCTGGTCCGGCCTCTGGCTGTGCAGGATCGACAACGAGAGGCTGGAATGGTTTGCGAATGCGCTTACCAGGGGGTCTGAGCACACTGATGGCCTTGAAGAATGCCTTCGAATCGAAGGGCTGCGTGGCTGAGCAGATTCGGCTGAACCTTGCTTGGACAAATTGCGTTTTGTCCCATGCCACCCAATTGCGGAGCTGTCTTTTCGCAAAATGACGTAGGTGCACCGCACGCTGAAGCATCAAGGACACCTGGCGCAATGACCATCCCTCCCGAGTACGGAAGGGGGTTTGACCTGCCCAGGCGCGCAGGCATGTGCCGAGCAGGGCACGCCTCCAAAGTCGCTCAAACGATCTGCAGGCCTTGCCGAAGGAGCGTTCACATTCTAGCCAGAATTTGGAAGTATCAGAGAGGAATGCGCGACAACGTCGCTGTTTTGGCGCCTGTCGATTGGCCTCCTTAGCTGTCAGAATGACCGCTTCATAGACTTTCTGCGTGTGCTCATGTATATTGCAGGACCAATCTGGGGCAGGAAGATGTTGGACACACTGGCGCAGGAGAGCTTTGGAGGCCTCTGGGTAGCAGTCTCCATCGGTGGGAATCCCTGAGCCGTGCCTTGTGTGTCTTTGGTCCTGCGATGAACACTGCATTGCACATTCGACTTGTACCGGCCAGTGACCGATGTTGGCGGTCGTGAAATCCTGCAGCACGCTTGGGGTCAAGCTGGCCAGCTTCCATTCCTGAGGCAGGGCCACGTAGTCAATGCGGTAGCCGTCCCCTTTGGGTGAGACCCAGGTGGGTTCTGAAGCTGTGGGCGCACACTGCCCGTCGTGCCCGAAAAAGGTAGAAGGTGCAAACAGGCCAAGCTTGTTCAGCCATTCACGGAAACAAAGCCCACTTGGGGTTTCCCAGGCCGCCGCGTGGCCACCTACTCCGTCATCGGTGGTGCTGCCCAGCTGAGCATTGGCATCAAGCATGGCTACGCAATCCCTATCCTTCGTGAAAGGTTGAATGTCTTCAAGTAGGGTATTCCACCATGCTTGAATGACCTCAGTTGGCGCTCCAGTATGTGGGGCGTGCGCACTGACGCATAGGGCCTTGAAATGTGGAGCCGTGACCGTGACAGCCAGGCAACGTGGTTTGGCGACAACGCACCTGAAGTGCTCGGCTGAGAAACACTGCGGTTGGCCGTTGATGTGGGCATACGGGGTGTTCCTGGAGAAAAAGAGCGAGCATCCCCCTTCGCCCTGTTCCGCCGCCGACGCAAACTCAAAGAAGTGTCGCCCTTTGCATTGGAAGGCCTTGCGGGTTCGCGTCTCCTGCAAACCGAAGATATGCATATCGCGATCGACGAACTGTTGCAGCACAACCTCTCGGCAATGGAGTAGTGACTGAACGTTATAGGAGGCCAACCTAACGGAGTACTGCAAAGCAACCTTTCGTTGGGAGCCAGGGCAGTCTGCTGGGTTGACGGGGAAGCATTTGAGCGGCACCTGGTCTGCCTGCTCGTAATGTCCTCGCGCAAGCTCTCGCAGATCTGGAAGATCGTGTGCCTTTGTGAGAGCCATCCACATCCAGGGCAGATTAGGGGAGGCAACCACCCGCCAGAAAACAGCAGGCAAGGGCGTGAATGTTCCACCCTATCTGCAAGCTCATTAAAAGGGTTACCAGCATGTCCCGGCAGCCAGCGAGCTTGACATG